GACACGGGGTCGCCGGGTGCGCCGGGCCTCTTGCGCGGCGGGCCCTGCGCGCCGGGCTCCAGCTCCCGCTTGCGCTTCTCCTGGCTCACCAGGATGTACTCGCGCCGCTCCCTGTCAAAGGCCACGTCCCCGGCCAGCGCCTCGTCCCAGGACCCGTACTTGAGGTACTCGGCCGGCTCGGCCACCTTGCCCCTGGTGGCCAGCTGCCAGGCCTGGTAGCTGTTGACCGGGTCCAGCTCGGCCACCCGCTGCCCAGTCTGTCCGTGGGCGGGAGCACCGGTCCCAGCGGGGCACAGGTTCAGGCACTGGAGGAAGAGCTGCTGGGGGTCGGCGGGGCCGAGCGCGTCCTCCTCGGCCTGGGCCCGCGTCCGGCCCGCCTCCACCCTGCGGTGGACGGCGTTGTGGGCGTTCAAGCTGTCCAGGTTTGTAAACAGGTTCCCGCACTTGGTGCAGACTTCGTAGAGGGCCAGGCCGGCCACGATCGCCTCCTCCTGCACCACGTTGTTGATGGTGGCGATGGGGTCCAGCTCGCTCCTGGGCCTGTTCTTGCTCGCCGCCTTGGGGCCGTGCGCCTTCATGTGGTTTTTCAGGAACCACGGCTCCTTGAACCGCCGGCCGCAGATGTGGCAGCCGTGGTCGAAGGAGCCCCGGTGCTTCTTCATGTGCGCCTTCAGGAACCAGGTCTGGCTGAAGGCCTGGCCGCACACCTCGCAGGAGAACTCGCCGGGCGGCAGCTCCGGCTTGCCGTTCTCCACGCAGGCCTCGCCGCCGGGCCCCTGCGCCGTGATGTGGTCCTTCTCGATGTGGCTCAGCAGGGACTCCTCCCGCAGCGTCACGTAGCTGCACAGGCGGCACTTGAAGGGCTTGTGGGCGCGGTGCACGTGCCGCTCCAGGTCCTTCTTGCGCTCGAACCTGCTCTTGCAGAAGGAGCACCGCGCCCCGGCCCTGCCCTCCTCGGCGCACGGGGCGCCCTCCGCCTCCTTCCTGCTGCTCCTCAGCAGGATCTTGCCGCCGTCCAGCTGCGTGGTGGCTCCGTTGAGGATCTGGTTGCAAGCCGAGGTGCTCTTGGTGGGGCTGGTGCAGCCGTCAAGGCCCTCGGACACGCGCGTCTCGCCGGCCTCGGACTCGTGGCCCTGGATCAGAGTCCCTGTGCGGTGGCTGCGGATGTGGATCTTGAGGTTGCCCTTCTGGGAGGCCCGGTGGTCGCAGTAGGGGCACTTGTAGGGCTTCTCGCCCGTGTGCTTGCGCATGTGCTGAGACAGGGAGCTCTGGAAGGGGAAGCTCTTGCCGCAGATGCAGCAGCTGTGGCTCAGGGCCTTGTCCCCGGCCACCTCGGGGCCCCTCCGCAGGTCCATCTCGGCCTCCCGGCTGCGATCCATCTCGGGGACACGGGCTCTGGGTCAGGCGGGCCGGCCGGACGAGGTCTTATCTCTCCATGTTCAGAGGAGTCGCCTGCTCCCCGGCTGCGGAGACGCGCCTGCCGCCGCGACGTGCATGTCCTACCTGGAGCGCATGGCGGAGGGCAGCGGGCACCTGGAACAGAGAGACCGGACAGGAGCTTAGGGAGGTCTGCACGGGACGTGGGCCCATCACATCCACCACCGGTGATCCGCAGGGTCCTCCTTACAAACACCGATCGATCCCGTCCAAACTGAAACTGGCACCGACCAAAATTCAGAGAGGCACACGCAGCTCCTTTCCTTTCAAAGATCAACAAGCAATTAATTACCGATAATCGTGTTAATTAAAATAAGCCAAGGTAAATGACTGGCACTAAAATAATTTTTATCAGAAAGAATCGTTAAGGGAAGACAGGTGAGAGTTCGTGGGCATGAGACAGCTTCAAGAGCTGGAGAGGTGGAAATGGGCAGCAGAGAGAAAGGAGGGGGGCCGATGGCAGGGGCGGGGAGGCAGAGCTCCTGCTGAGCCCCAGGCGGTGCAGCTGTGACACACCTACAGACGTGTGCAGGTGGTAAGAAAAGGAGTCTTCAGTTAAGAACTTGGATGACTTAGTAAAACTGCAGAAAGGGAACCCCCAGCTGCCTCAAGATCTGGGCCCTGAACGGGTGTGCGTGGCCACGAGACCAGCTCCAGAGCAACGTTCAGTCCTCTCGGCCTCTTAAAGCCCAAACTCTGTCCCACCTTACAATGCTCTTGCCATCATGGTTCTGTCATTTTCCCCTGCACCCCCCCCCTCACCCCCAAAAGCACCTGAAACTGGCAGCAGGGCTGAGTCTTGGGTGCAGAAAACCCTGCGGACCTCACCCCAGGAGGGAGGCGGCCTCCCCACTTCCCCACAGGGCCTTCCCGGGGAGGCCAGGTCCACCTCTCCCTGGTGACGGCAGATGTCACGCTGTATCATCACTGTCACCTTCATGACCATCTGCCCTGGAGAAGAGAGGCAGGCCCTGGTCCGAGCTGCTCCCCCAGGCGCCTGGGCATGCCCAGCGCCCTGTGCACAAGCCAAAGCAAACTGGACAAGGGGTGCCCAGGGCTGCGCTCGGTGCACAGTGGGCAAACCTCTGCCCTGTGGGAAACCCAACCACACTCCTACGAACCCCCAAACGGGCCCAGGAGAGTCCACACTGAAAAGCAAACGTGCTGTAAACTCGGGAATTTCCATTAACTCGTGGTAAGTAGAATATACAGTGAGCCAATCAAAACACATGTGGGAGATGCCACGTCTCCCAGCACCCAGGCCCGCTGCGTCCCGCAGGTGCTATGTGACAGCACCGTCCCCCTTCTCTCCAGGGGCGTGGGGGGCTGAGGATCTCCTGCCCCACTTGCTTCCCAAGAAATCCACGCGTCCTCAGCACAGCCTGGATGTCACCCGGACCCCCAGCCAAAGCCAGAACAGAGACTGGTTTCCATTTCCTCTCCGGCCTCCTCCAAGCCTAGCGTCAAAGCTACCCCGAAGCCTGCAGACCCCCATTTCCAAGGACATTCTGGAGGAAGGACATGAGGGCGCCCGCAGCGGCCCGACGCCTTGTCCCGTGTGCCCAGCCCCATCCTTCAGAGCTGACCCGTGGTGAATCCCGCGAGGGCTGCGTAGCACGGTTTTCAAAGGACTGAAAAAAATTCTGAAAGGGGAAATATCTGACTGTAGAAGTGGAAGAAACACTGTGACGGTAGCAACTATTTTAACCCCAAATGTCATTATCTTAAGGAAATCGTAACATCAACGCAAACGGCTCCAAGTGACGGAGGCTGGCTTGGCCCCCCTCCCGGTGCCCACAGCCCACTGGTGACGTCTCTCACCAACCTCTTAGGAAACAGGGGAAATGTAATTCCCGGCCACCAGCTCTCCCCAATGCCCAATCCACAGACCTCTGAGAACATTCCTTTAACACTGGCAAGGGTGCTATTTAAGAGTCACCCCTTCTTTCTCAAAGTGAACGCGAATGCTGTCCCATCATCAGAACTTTCCGCTTAAAAAGGGGCCCTGGGGCAGCCACCCCATGACAGGGCTATGGGGATGTGACCAGCTCTCTTGGCACTGTGGGCTTTGCTGTCCTTTTATAAAAAGCCCCCCAGCCTCTGGGAGCCAGGAGGGCCTCGGATGGTTTCTCCCCATTTACTGTGGCCCCTGTGGGGAGCAGGTCACCCCCGCGGGCCACCATGTGACAGGGTGACACTTCTAGGTTCTGGTAGGAAGGTCAGTCCTGAGCTGCCACATGAGGTCTGGGGTTCCAGCTCCCCCTAGAACACGCCAACCTGGAGGTAACAACCGTATAAAAGATGCACATAAACAAACACTAGTTTCTCACCCAAACCAGGACTAACGAGTCTTCCAGTAACACAGACGGAGGGGCCGGGGTGGAGCTGACGCATGTCCGCGGCTCAGCTGACGTGACCAGTCACCACAGACGTCCGTGAAGCACAGCCCACTGAGCAGAGACTTTGCCCATAATGAATCACAGTGCTGTTACTGTATTTATTACACGCTCTTTCCAAGGCTGCCGCTGGGAACTCGCCAAACGAGACTGTAATTCCATTGTTTGGGCATAAAAATGGCTTGATTAGGGTTTTAAAATAGATTTCCAATTGAAGTCTCACTGAGTGTGTGTGCGCGCAATCTCGAGCTTCTCTGGAGATGAATAGTTTGAAGCTACTTTTTAAAAATGCCTTGTGTCATTTTCAAAATAAATTTTATCTTGAAAGCTACTATATATAAAAATAGGAAAACTTAAAATGTTTACTACTGAAAATAAAAATGTGTGTTCATAACATAAGGGTGCATCCTAATGGATGGGGGGTAGGGGCAGAATATAGAAGTTACGAGAGAAAGATACGCGCTGAGCTTTAAGAATCAGCACATGAGCATGGAGACAGCAGCAGGTCTGAAGGCTGCGGCCCGACCTCAGAGGCTCTTTCTCCACCTGCAGAGCGCAACCGAAATAAAGTGACTCTCCCAAGAAGGCTGACAAAACATCGAGCTCTCTCCCCACTGAACCGCCCCCACTAGCACAGGGTCAATCACACAGTGGACTTCACAGTGCTGGGAGCGGAGGTCTTGACCTTGAGCCTCAAGGTCAGACAACCCGAGACCAAACGCCGTTCTGCCACTCACTTGGACCGGCTGTGTGACCCTGAACAAGTGTCTCAACCTCTCTGTTCTATTCCCCAGTCCACTTCTTCACCTTTAAAAGTGATGGTAAGGATACTTATAGTATTTTGTGAGGTTTAAAGGAATGCAAGCAAGGCAGTGTTTAGCACACAGTAAATGGCCGAGGTATACCAAGTATTATAATCATCGTGGAATAAATAAATGAAATGTCAATGCAATACCCAGATACCTCGTCACTGGCAATGACAGTACCTGATTTGATCAATTCAGGAGGGCAAACTCACAGGCGCTGAGGAAGCGAACCCTGAAACACTCCACGGTAACACCTATGTGCTCGCCGGGCCCATAGCCTCACCGCAGGTTCAACACAAGGACCAGGTCTTCCACCCGCAGCTGCAGCGGTCGGGGCGGACACCCAGCCCCGCCGCTCCAGAACCTGCAGAAACGCTCATTCTGTGCACAGGACAGGAGACGGCACCGAGAACCACCGTGACTTCCCCGGGTCCCTAAGGTCGGAGGGCGGTCTCAGGGCTGTGGGCCTGTGAGGGGTACTTCACGGGTGGCTTACAAAGAGCAGGCAGACACTGATCTATGGGGAGGGGTTGGTATTATTTCTATTTTTAGAGATTTTTTTTCACAAAAGAAGTTAAAAAAGAAGAAATGACTCCCACTTGGGGACCCAGTAACACAACTGAGAGCACAGCTCCTCTGGGGGAGGCCTGGCACACCCCTCCCCCTCCCTTTCCCTTCCTCTCCCCTCCACCAATCCTACACCCTAACCCTCCCCAACTTG